TGCTAAATACTATTTGCTTGACAAAAACCGCATGGATAGTTTTAGGAGGATAATATAAAAATTGCACTTAAGCTCAACATTCGAGATCTTGGTCAGAAATATATTTGACCTTTGACTCTGAAGAAGGGTATAATAGTATTCCAAGTTTTATTTAATAAATATAGAAACCACGCCAACTCAGTTTTTGCGTAATACTTTTTACAGAAGAGCATAAGATACCTAATCACAGTAGAAATAAACGTACGAAATTTCTAATGGCCAAATTTTGCTTTTGGCTATATGTTCAGGGTTAAGGTTTGCGAAAATGACATTTCTGCAAAAAAACATTTCTAGAGTCTATCATACATGTATGTGGGTGTCTCGGATATCTATTTGCTATCCTGGGTTGTAGAATTTAGTTTTAGAACCGAGTCTTTGTCTCCACTCAATTCTGCACGCGATTATAACGTCATTATACAGATTTAGTATAGGTCAGTGTCAGTTTCGTATGTGACGTATGTGTCTTACATAAAGTGTCCGTACTTAAAGGTAGAACCTATTGAAGGCAAATTAAAATTGATTTTGGCAGTGGATGATGACGTAAAATTTTGTAAAATTCTTGAAACCTCTTCTACGGTATTTTATGGTGTGATGCTTTCGTTGATCCGAAACTAAGATTCACATTTATAAGTTTATAAATGGGAAACTTCATTCAATTGACGAACATTGCATTAGATAAGTAATGGGTATAGGCATATTCTATTGTACTTTTCATGACAGTTTGTTTTATTTCTCTCTGCAAACGTATTGACAATAATACAGAATGTTTGACACTTTGAAAACCAAGAGTCAGCCTACTTTACAAAACAGCGATATCCTTTATAAGGAGCTATGCCGTTAATATGTCTCACGTGCGACATTTGTAACTAATAGTAATAAAATTATCACGCGAAAATACTATTAAGATATCGATGATATATGCAATGTTTTCAATGATGATTTCATAATGTTTCCTGATATATTTTATTTCCTTAACTATTTTTAGTATGAGATAAAAAAAAATCTAAAAGAGATATTTCTATATACATGTACATGTATTTCAAATCTCACCAGAATAATAGGAGTCCCCTTCTAAAATATAAATATTTCAAGTTTGCTAGAAGAATCGGATTTTTTGTATTGTTGACGAGAATTCAGAAACAAAAATGTTAATAACATAAATTAAAGTCATGGGCCAAATGATATGTGCACCACCTTAAGCTTCTTTTTTACAACGCAATACAAAATTCGTATGTGTAGAATGCTTAAATAATTTATTCCAAGATAAACGAAACTATTTTTTCAGATTCCTTTCTTTCAGTAGAAATTTGAAAACTGCAGTATTTACGCTTCAATTGTATTTTTCAAGAGATTAGAAACAAAATGAGTACTGTTTCTTAGATATAGCTCTTTTCGGAAGGATTGATACGATGCACTCACTTTACCGAATACAGGAGATACCAATTACACAATGATGTACTTTTACTGCAAAAGGTAATCTATTACAATTGAAACTTTTTCAAGTTGAAATAATATGTAAGCCTTGTATGTGTGTCCCGTGTGTGTTCCATGCTCAATGCTCTGTGAGCGACTGATATAGATGTGATCTGATAAATGTTAGTTGTTATCCAGGATATGCAACTGTCTATAACATCACTATTATATTGAACTGTTCGATGAACATATTGGGTGTCCTTTTGTATATTTTGATATTGTTATCCTTTGTCTAACATGGAACACGACGGGGAATGTTTTTGGATTAATGACCATTATTATATCAGAAAGATGACAGAGTACATCAAAACAGTCCTAAATGGTATGTTGTCTGTCGTCCCCGCTCTCCTTTTTACTATTCCGATGTTTCAAATAAACTGATTTATTACATTTGGATTGTCTGTTTTCATTGTAATTGTTTTACATGCAGTTATTCTCATTTCGATTAACTTCTACTTTGAATCACTTTACGTCCAGGTTGTGTATTGGTTTCACTATGTTTACATCATGTTTTAATTATAATATACAGATTGGTGAACATAGTTGGCAAGTTTTATGTTCACCAATACTATCTCATAGCGAAATATTCTATTTCCTTTCTAGAGTTTGTGACTATGCTTATCAGTGTGCCTCTCGTATTAATTGCCATCACCTCGGTTCTAGCAATGAGAACGCCACATGTCTGTTATATGCCCAGGATTTACATGGCGAATATCGTCGAAGACGCTTCGGACGTTTTACCTTCAAGAGCACCTAGCCTGGAATCACAGAAATCCGTACAACACGTTCCAACAAATAAAAATTAGTTTTAAAGACAATACTCCTTCAAATGTAAACTGCAAAGTAGAATATGTTTTTAAATGATATTAAGATATTTCTTCATTTATAATAGTGGATGATTTGCAGAAAATCATACGCTATGATATTTGAGAGGAAATGTACATGTGAAATCAAACACCGTTCTAGGTGTAAAAATATCGTAATGAAAGTGCCCTTTATTATTTGTATAGAAGTTATTTATCAAGTGTCTCTTTTCCTTTTACATTGTTCTAGCGTCATCGTATTTGGGTTTAAAATACGGTTATAATTTGTTATAATTTGTTTGTATTGTGTTTTATTTACATTCCGTTCATTCACATTAATAGTATTGGTATACATGTACATAAACATTGTATTTGATTTACATTGTTTTTACAATCTGTTCGAATAACAATGTTGTTGTTGTTATTTTTTTACTTTGGATTGACATTTTATTGCAATTGCTGCGTTCTTGAAAGACGTACAATAATGTTGTGGAAAACAGCATGACAACCATTCGTCCAGGTAAGCCTAGTTATAACGTTAAATGAAACGAATATACTAGGGCAGAACAGTAATTTACATTAAAATAATTGAAGAGCAAAATTAATTAGAAGATGAGTTTCCCAGCCCTGACAATGAATAACATACTGATTTATGGACGATATTCTCAAAAAGAAAAATAGTTCCCGAAAAACTACGCGTGTTTGTATTGACTGATAACGGTTATGCTATAAAGTCTACAAATACGATACATTACTGTACAACGGAACAGGTTGATAACGAAACGCGGTTTAGCTTTTATTTGACATATTTCATCCCTGCTAATTGGTTAATATTACAGCAGATAGACATTGGATGTGGACATGACATCACAGTTGGACGAAAGGTTGTAGTTTTGTGACATTATCTAAGCAATTCTAGATTTCGTGTATCTGCATTTTCTATAATGGTGAACACAGTCTCTGGGAACGCATCGGTTGTGTTGAATATTTTTCTAGTCATCTGTCGCAAATGGACTTCCCACGAGTCGCAGGAGAACGCATAACACAAGTATATTCTATATTTCATCTCCGGGAAATAACAATAACAGCAAGAGATATACCGAAAATCGGTATCGAGCCACTGTTGGTGTATAGATAATACACGACGGTGTTGATTGTGATAGATAGGCGTCTAGAAAGTAAACAAACAGAAAGTACTCGTATATCAATAGAATACATTATCATTTTGCTTCATAATCCTGTGGTTCTATAAGCTGATAATACGTGTATTAAATCTCCTTTCAAACCCTGTCTTCAGGTTCTTTATATTCGTTCAGTTCATATGTCCAAAAAAGGCAATCGAAATATCCTTTTTCAAAAAGCGCAGTGATTGTGCTTATCTAAAATTAATACGTGAACCTTGAATACGGCACTAGAGTAAATAAACATTTTAAATTTTAACTTCATATTCATTTTTCATTTGAGAGAATGCAGAGAAACGTCTCGGACAAGAACATTGACGTTTCAAACTCTCCTCTGATAATTAATCCATCTGTTTACAGTGAAACCCCTTTATAGACTATTTAAAAACACATTTTCGTTGATTATCTATTAGATGGGAAAATGTTCATCTTACATCCTTTTATAGCGCCAATGGTATACAAAAGTGACCTATCCATACACAAGCCAACAAAATGAACAGGAGCATACGAGATAATTAACAATAACATATTTCGATCTCAAAATTGATAAACAAAGAGCAAAATGTTTCTAGAGGGTGACCCTTGAACAAGTTTGTGGAAAAGACTAGACAGTTCGTAATTATAAGTGTCGTCTACTGCATCAATGATATTCGCCATAATATACAGCATTTGATATAGCGCCCTACCTAGCTAACATAAGCCACTCTAAAGCGCTTTACAGTACATAGATATACGATTAATACAATTAGGATATACATTTTATGAGGAATTCGCAGGAGCTGCCTTATCAGGCGCTAACTACTAGTCCTATGCCACCTAGCTAATATCTCCCTATGTGCGTATGTCTGCGCGTTTGCTGGAGATGTATTGTGTTATGTTTGTAGTGGGACCGTGCTTTCAACGGAATATTTTATAGTGCCACCTCACTTAAATGCTACATCACAGATACCGCAACATCCACCCCAGACAATTTTATACTCCACCTTTGTTGTTGGAGTTGTGTGGGCAGGAGAAAAGCACTTTCTTTGATATTCCATGCGTGCGACGACTTCGGGGATCGAACCGCGGCCGCCTGCGTGGAAGGTGTTAACCACTCGACCAATCCGCCATGAAAAACTATTCTTAAATATATCGGTATACAACACTAAACATAACTTTATTTCAAATAAAAAAATGCAAATACCCTGTGTAGGATTGTGATCACGACTTCCTCCACTGTTCTCTCTGTACCAAGGACAATTATTACTAAACTCCATCTCTGCTCTGGGTGATGTTATCCCACTTAATATTCAGACTTTATATAAGATGTCAGAGACTCAATGTTAGTATATATACGTTATCATAAAATGCAAGTTCGTAATTGTTTAGCAGTTATTGTCGAGCAAAGTTTCTTTTTATCGATGACCTTTGAATGCACTGTTAGTGTATGTGTTATCTATATCAAACATGCAAGCATCAACTTTTTATTTTGTAGTAATGATGCAAAAACTGAAAAGAAAAGTTGTATCAATACTTGCGATGCGCACCATCAACAGATTACACGATCATTTATTCAAAAACAAAAAGATAAACTTGACGGATTCCGTTCACTTTTTCAACTTTTCGAATCTGTCATTGTTTCTTTTGTACATATATATGAAGCGAATCGCACAACCAGCTGGTCAACTTTCATGTACCAAGTTGTCTCCCGTCATTTGATTTGAAATACATACAGTATGATAACAGTATAAGACGGATGAAAATCACTCTGCAATCTCCTATAACGTAAGCAAACACATATCCAACAGATGTTGTTATAAGTGAAATTTATTACATCCTCGATAATGGTCGAACTCGCAAACTTTTCGGACAGCACAAACTTCCATAGCACACTCGCAAGGAAATCTGATTATTGATATTGGTAAAAGCCAAAACGCCACGACTACGTACAATACACAGGAAAAGCATCATCAAATCGGAAAAATAGCAACAACAATGTTGATGTTTCTGATTCAAGCAATAATCAAACACAATTATAGGTTAGCTGTGAATATAATGATAAAAGCAAAGTTATGACATATTGGGGGCCTGAGCCCTTGATACTTCGACATTAACTGTTGCGGGGACCAACATAGCAGTAAACACGTATAATATTAAAGGTACCTTGTGATTACCTAGGGTAGAAACCATACTCTTTTGTTCTCTGTCATTCCCTTACAACGTAACTTCACTTCAGCCAGAAACAAAACAAAATTAAATATTAGAATTTAAAAAACTCAAAAACATCACTTAACTTCATTGATAGTTAAGCAAAACACAAGAAGTTTACATTTATATAAACGATATTTCTGCTTTTCTATTAATATATTTATGTTTAACCAGTAGACAACAGCCAATATTATGCATGATAACTTATACACGTCTTCATTGTAGAATGTTGCATATCTAATTCTGGATTTGTTAACTCAATACAATTTCGCAATTGCACTACATTTCACACATAATCCTAGTCACGTCAGTGAGCACTCCTATCACCTGATCAGCAAATTAGACATTTTACACTGCTCACATCATCTGTATCTTGTAACATGCCACCCTTTTCATCCTTTTAAAGTTAGTATCATATCCTTCGGAAAACGTCTACACGAATATGAGTGTTATGGAATATAGTACATCTGTATCATAATCATTTTGAAGCCAAGGATATGCAGTTTTTCCGTCATTATTATTGGGAAAATGTTTTTTTGAAATTCTCATCAATGTACCATTACACTAATGGGGTTGGGCGTAGCTGGGGTTAGATCTATTACAACTTCTCGGATGTCTCTATATCATGCTGGCCGTTAGTTTTACCTCCCTCCGTACCAGGATCTACTGCTGCATTGTCGTAATATCCCCCGTCAAGCTCTCCTCCTTCTTTGCCATTTTTACTTCTCTTTGAACTATACCGGAAATGATTTATCAAGCATGCTCCACAGATGACAATAAAAAGAACAGCTGCGGCTATTCCACCTATCATTGCATTGTGTCGATAACGTTCAATTAATTTGGAGTAATCAGGCCCGTCAACATTTAGACCCTTCTGAACGATTTCCACGTGGTAGTTTGGCATTACTAAAACACAGTAGTAGACTCCGAAATCTTCATCATTGACATTTGTGACAGTGAGGCTGTAATTGAACCAATCCGATATTGTCCAGGATAATTTTCCTTTCTGCATTTTTGCAGTAGAAGTATTGTCAATCTTTTCCCCTGACGGGAGAATCCAATACTTGGCTTGTATATCGCCGCCGTTACCAGGAATGGTGGTGATATTTAAATCACGGTTGTCGCACGCGAGTGTAACAGTGGTGAAGTACTCCACCTTTACGTTGTCGGTCAGACTTACTGGAAGTAAAACCGCCAACAAACAACAAAGAGTAAGGGTCCGAACGTCCATGGTCGAAAGTCTGTAAAACAAGATTTTATGTTTGCTTATATACATGTATCAAATTGCATTCATCAAGCATGGTACAGTGTATTTTGACACATTCAATCATAAACTAATTCGACAATAAGTTTGCACTTAAATAAACTACAAAGGTATGCAAGTAGGGAAACAGGATGTAAAAATTGGACAAAACTCAAAAGAAGCCTAGCGCTGCCGATTTGATTAAGACGATAAAATTGACAAGAAAAAATCAAAACGTCCTTAACATCCACATGAGAGAATGTACGTGTACAGGGCACATCTGTAGATTGGAGGTTTTGCTCAGAGGGATACATGTAGTGTACCAGTGAGGTAAGTTATTGGGTGAAGTAAGGTGTGAACATAACTTAGAGGTCATCAGTTATTTATTACATATATCAAAGTTTGAATGATTATCTATATATAAACAGTAGCTGTGGTCAATATTACTTCAAACTTGTGTATTATCACAAAAGTCCATGCTTCTTTTATATTATGCTTAAAGAGATACATTATTTTTTTAATTAGCCACCAATATGCGGTTTTTCTGATACTCCATTATTAGGTAAAACATGCAGGTTCCCAATTGCATAGCTCGGCTAGGTAGAACAACGAATACAATATATTTGTTTGCTAGAAAGATAAACATACATCTGTGTACTTGGACGCCATATGACGTCAGCTGTTCATATGTACATAGGTCAACTTTAATACCAGTTAACCTTAGATGTTAGGTGGCCACTACGACGGTTGATGTCGATACCATTTGACCCGAGCAGTTATATGTGATCCTTAAATCTTTAACTTGAACTAATTAAAGCCATTTGCAATTATTTTCTTAAACAAACTATTTTTTTACATGTTTTATACTCACTTGTAATACTGTACATTGTTTCTGATCATTCCTTATACACTATTACAACATGACCAGATAAGATTAGAGCGACCTTCAAACTAAATGGTAAAGTATATATATATCGGCCCTAAATCTGAAGATTGAGATAATATGAACTCTTAATACACTTGTATCGTCTGTATACAAACAAGTAGGACTTAGGTAGAACCTGACGATATGCCCCAACCGACCTGATATGACGTATTGTTTGTGAAAATGCTCTGTAATAAGAACACACAGGCTAACCGAGACAATAATTTACAAATGAACGCATGTTTAGAACAAACATCATTGACAGTAAATACGTCTGTACTTAAGATGAGCTATTTTACCTGTTACAGAGTTATTACAACTGACCATTAAACAAAATAGTTGCATGTTTAATGGTTGAATGTATATAACGTGGCGAGAATATGTAGGAAAAACAATAATTCACTTACTTAATATTTAATTTGCAATATTTACAGGTATTTTCCCGATATATGTTTATCCTGAACTACATTTTTCTTCCTCGACACATATAACAGATGCATGATAATTATATTCCTTTCACATGAAAGGTAATATTCTTTTGCGCCAACTCCAGTAGCCATACTACGGATAAACTCATGCATGCGCAAATGTCTCGTTTTCGGCTACCAACAAGCCGATTCAAAGCAATGACATGATTTGTGGGCACTGCAGCGTTGGGCATGTTGTCATGGTATGGCATGAATGCAATTTCAACCGTAAGGATAGAAACATGCACGCATGTACCCTCGCCCGACAAGGCTGAATCATCAAACAACAGTCACATAAGTCCCATTTGTTTATAAAAGCAATACAGAAGTTATCATTCGTCGAAAGAACGTTTTCTTTTGCAACACGAACATACTTGTGTACGCTATCCAATTATCTTATAATGCATGACAGTTAACCAATGAAAAGTGTCATTATTTTACCAACTTTATATAGTTACTTGTGTATAATATGAGTATAATGAAGCGTGCGTTTTAAATGAACCAGCTGCTGATAGCGTTTTCAATGTGCTTTGTGTTAAACATAACATTAGATCACTGACCCCTAAAGATATAACACATACATGCTACAAGTGTATCAGCTGATACAACTCACAGCGCGAGACAGGTAAAATGTGTACATCGTATTAACAATAAAACTATTTCAATTTTCAACTCATTTCTTAAAACAAAGCATTAACTAGACAGATACAAATTTACTTACATATTGACGATGTTGTCCTGTCCTCCAACCTGGTTTTTGTGAACTGTTACATACAATGGTTACCCATCGTTCGTGTAGGACACTTATCTACCGAGGTCCTTAGTGGTGTAGGTATTTACCTCAGCATGTGTACATATCGTTATTCATGCCTTATACTTCCCCCACATCACAATATACAGCGTCAAATCACGGGGTGTAATCAGTACACAGCAGAAAGAGCAGTTCAACAGGTGTGTGACCGATGTATTTCATTTACATTCTTCATCAGTTAACAATAAAGTGTGTATTTTCATTTTGTGTAAAGTCTAGTTGATCGACGCACTTTTCTTTCATTAATTTGACAAGTACATATTGTGTTAACATTCGTTTTGATAAATATGATATAGATATAATATTAACAATTGATGAATATAAAACTAAATGTGATGAATATGTACATTGAAAAAGTAAGTTCATTATAAGATAAAACTATAAATAAGTACATTTGTAGAAGGCCATTTCTAATGTCAGGCTGAGGTAAGGTATGTACACAGTTGATGTAAGAGCGAGTGAAGTTAGGTATGTACACAGTTGATGTAAGAGCGAGTGAGGTTAGGTATGTACAAAGTTGATGTAAGAGCGAGTGAGGTTAGGTATGTACACAGTTGATGTAGGAGCGAGTGAATTTAGGTATGTACACAGTTGATGTAAGAGCGAGTGAATAAACTTCATCAGTGTCTTTAATAGACATGTTATTTCGCATTGTCTTCGAATGGTTTAGGTTTATATATTTGAATCAACGAATACCAAATGGTCATCATCCAATGAGAGTTAGGTCACATAGTGGGTATTTTAAGTACCGCTGTGAAAAGTATTTATCCTACAATGAAAGTTTCAAGTTACGGTGGGTGATAAAAACGACAGACACCGCTATAGAACATGGAGTACACAATAAATTATCAGGAAAGCAAAACGTGTCTCTGCATTTATATCTAAACAGACCACTACAAGAGTTACACTACCAGACTCCCCTAAACTGACCTCAATTACCGTGTTACCTATCAAATTTCAGGTATATTTGCTGATTGTTCATTGTGAAGCTATTTTCTAAATTGATCATGAGGTCAATGGATATGTTCACAGTGTGTATAAAATAATTTAGTAGAAATATGAAATCAACTGGCTAAAGAATTACACCCTTGCTTTAAAAATATATTATAAATATTATAGTATAACAATACGAAACGTCTAGTATTCATATTTAAAAATGACACAACACTACATATATCGTTGAACTCTTTATTGCCATGTGTCGAAATATTGTGCAAACGAGAGAATAGAAACAATACAGGTTGAAAGTGTTATAATAAGTTTCAGCAGATATAAGTTATCATAGAAGGATCTCTCCAATTATACAGGCATACCAAGCATTTCGAATGTCCGAAAACCTGACACGCACGCGGTTTTGCGAACAATGACATATTCCCTTGTGCCATTGCAAAAGAAACAACAATTGATGTCTATTTCTAGCAATACATGTATATAATGTTTTTTTCGGTTTAGTAAAAAGTAATCATTAATCATACGTCTATGAGATATAAAACAAATATTACTTACTGCAACACTTTGAGTTTAAAGTTGTAGGAAAAATAGAATTCGCCAGTGATACATTTCGCGTGCAATTTATGCTAAAATTAACTAACAAACTCCCACAGACATGTCGCTGCATTTTAAATTCGCATCGATCGCATTTTAACAGGACGGCGTATGGGATTATTCATTTCGAATTATACATGACCGCACACGTTCAGAAAAGCATTTAGTTGGAAACATCTAAGTACGCTTTAACTTATCCATCGTGTGACGTGTTATTTATTTATAACTTTTCAAATGTCTACATGTGAAATGTAACCACTGTATTCATGTATACACAGCAAAACTATCAAGCAGAGGAATAATGTGGAGGTATCGCATCCTTGTAAATATCACACCTTGCGCTCACTACATGTATTTCAACAGCGCATAATTATGATCACTTGACCACAATCATCAAACGTACATTTGATCACATGGCCCCGGACTCGGTCATCAAACGTACATTTGATCACATGGCCCCGGACTCGGTCATCAAACGTACATTTGATCATATGACCAAGGTGTCCACCGCACATACGCTCACATGCATGACCACGGTCATCAACCGTAAACTTGATCATATGACCACGGTCATCAACCGTACATTTTATCACATGACCAATGTATTCACCGTACATACTATCATATGACCACGGTCATCAACCGTACATTTGATCACATGATCAAGGTATTCACCGTAATATGATCACATGATCACGGTCATCAACCGTACAAATGATAAATAGCACCATGACGTCGGCAAGTTAACATGAACTAATTATGGCAACAAATCGCATGATATGTGTAAACAAAATAATATGTACATTGCCAAGGGTAGAGATGGACAAGACAAGGCAATCGTTTAAACCAATTCTTCTTGATGCAGTTGAAGAGGCGTATTTCGAACTTATAATATATAATACAGTCAATTTTATGGTACATGTACATGTACGCTGAAGGAGTTTCTACCACAACACGCTGTGTTATTCAACTCTCAGATCATTGTATAAACATGTACACCACACGTGGTATATGACCTTCCAGAGTTTTGATTGGTCGAGAAAAAGAACTTTGAACGGGACGACTTTTTCCACGCGCTTTTTGCCACATGCTGTTTATTTTACGTCGTCTGCTGTCAACATCCGGCAAATGTTGGTGACTGTGTTAGGTTATGCGATGGGGAAAATTGGGTTATTAAGACAATATTAAAAGAAGATGATATTTAAAGATTTGATTGCTAGTTGCAGGCAAAATTGCTACCGACGCTCGATATCGTTTTGACGTCACACCGTCGCGTGTCCAGGTCGTGAAACCAAAACAAGATCTGTCACAGTGTCGGAAAATATTTCGATCTCCCAACCTCCCGTTATCGCTATTTGGAGGGTCTGACTATGGCTGAACTTTCACTATAAACGTCAACCATATAACCGTCACGAGGAAGCTTTCCAGGCCTATGGTTTTGGACATTGACAGCGATTAATACGTCTTAATCACTTGGCGGGAGGCAGACTTCGGACGATACGCGTATGCGCCTATAGTATGCGGTCAATTTATTTATCACATACCTGTTGAATCTTGTTATAGTAATACAAGCAATTTTCACATGTGCAATACGGAATGTTGTATTTACCTACTAGCCGGAACTACTTTTTATGGGAATCCCCTTGTCATGGCGAACTGAAAAGTTTCCGGTATTTGCAAAAAATATCAAAGTTTATAAAATCTTTGTATCGATCACTGCCAAATACGGAAGGGATGTGATAAAAGCAAGACCACACACTTGTGTTTTTCTAAAGAATCAGAAAGCATATATATATTATTGCAATACTGCATATTCTCAATACTTAAAGACGTTCATCTACAATATTTTTTCATGAATTGTTGCCAAAACATTAATTTTATTTTTACAATTATTAAATTTGTAAAAAAAAAATCATTTTTGAGTATTGATGAATGACTTTATACATATGGATCATATCACTACGCCAGCCTTGTCAAAAACACATGTGTGTATGTTATTCAAATCAGGTCACACTCCAGCTATTTCCGACTTAGATTGTGGTAGAAACAGATCACACGACTCGTGGTTGCTGAGTATGGTAATTATTTCATTCTCGTTAGTTAATTTTCAAAACTAAAGCTCGTGTCTTTTGTAACTTTTGAAAATTAACTAACTCGAGTGAAATAAATACCATATTCAACAACCACTCGTTGTGTAACCTCTATATATCTTATACGTATTAGATATAAACATAGCATGATTATGTTTCGCTATAAACAGATATTTTGTGATATGTTGTCGAATCAAATGTATACACAAGTATACGACTAACGTGACCATAGAACCACAAAACTATGGATATTGATAATGGCTTAATTTGTTTATGAAGCTTACAACAAACCTGTATATTAGGTAAATATAGTTTAAACGTTGTTGTTAAATATAGATTGCACGCGTAGTTTATTAAACAATGGTTCAATAATATATATAGATCTTTAAAAGGACAAACATAATAAATATGAAAAGGCAAAGCCTTAAAAGAGCATAGCTTTTGTTTATCTCTGATATTTACTGATTAAGAATACAACTTTCAGAATGAGACAAGATAAACTTTATTTAAAGTCGGCTTGTTGAGGAATAACAATAAAACACAAGCTCTATTGAGATTAAGACCGACATAACAATAGGGAGACCGGGGTAAGTTCGGCCTTTTTATTTTTTTATTTTTATTAAAGTCCTTTCTAGGAGGTATGGCAGCACGTCCGTTTTTGAACATTATTTAACTATCCTGTCGGAAGATCGGATGGCGGAGCGAGCCCCGCCATGGGGTTAGTTCGGACAGGCATTCGGGTAAGTTCGGCCCCCATTGGAATCAGCTTAATAATGACTTCATAAAGCATGCAACGTCAGATTTTACCGCCAATTTTACGACTTTTTATTTTATATGTTACATGGGCCGAACTTGCCACGGTATCATTGGCCGAAACTGTCCGGAACCAAATTGATATTTCAATAAATTCTTATCGTACAGCAATTTGGCAGTGAATGCTTGGTTTGGCTTTTATGTATTATAATTTGAAGCTGTCAGTGTCTAACACGCTTTACTGTAACAAAGTAGCAATTCCGAATACCAATAGCTGTACTGAATTATTGCTGTACTAACATATTGCTGTACTTGTACTGACATATTGCTGTACTGACATATTGCTGTACTAACATATTGCTGTACTAACATATTGCTGTACTGACATATTGCTGTACTGACATATTGCTGTACTAACATTGCTGTACTAACATATTGCTGTACTAACATATTGTTGCACTGACATTTTGCTGTACTGACAAATTGCTGTATATTGACATATTGCTGTATACTGACATATTGCTGAATACTGACAAATTGCTGTATATTAACATATTGCTGTATACTGACATATTGCTGAATACTGACATGTTGCTGTATACTGACATATTGCTGTATACTGACGTATTGCTGTACTGACATATTGTTGTATACTGACATATTGCTGTACTGACATATTGCTGTATA